TGTGCTGTACTTAGTGTGGTCTCACGGAGGGCTTGTGGTGACGTAATGATTGAAATGTCTTGTTACAATTGTGCATTGCTGGTAATCAAGTTGGTCAAGAACCTGTACTTCTAGCATTTCTCTCTTAACCACTATGGCTTTCAGATAATATTGGAAGCTAACAGGAATTTGAGAGGTTTGCAGAAGCGTTTTGACCTTCACAAGGGCTTCTCCCACAGGCTGTTTTGCTCGTATCTGATTCCCAGATTTACTGAGGCACCCCATGAGTCCTCACAGAGGAGCAACCTCATCCTTAGCCTGCCGGGGTTGACGTTTATGGGCTGCTAGTGTATTGTATTGATGTCTGCTCCCATCTCCATTTACCATTCTCTCTAGTCTGGAACCCAGTGATACATCTTCAGAAACCTAAGTATCAGTGCACGTTCTCTCCCAGAATGTCCAAGTTTGACATCTAATTGACGGACAAAGACGGGGGGAAATGACAGTAGTCAGCTACTTAAACATTCATGTACATTGCGCCATTAGCCTCTTGACATATCAGAGCAAATGAGCAGAAAGGTCAGATAGAGCAGGTTAGCCTCTGATCTTGGTTTACAACTTCCAAGGAGAACCTGGCTGCCTGGGAGCTTCTGTTAACTCAGCCCTTTCTTCCCCCGGTTCATCGACACCTGCAAATGCCTGAATCTCTGCGAGAACTCCCTCAGTGCAATCCTGCTAATTGTGGTAACTTCTCCCCTTGCCAGGTGCTAGCTGAATCCTCACCATAATGCTTTGCTGCTATAAAGTTGATGGGAAAGTCCATCTGGACGATGTCATGTGAGTCTAGTGGACTTGCAAAGTGGGTGATGTGTAGCTCAGTGGTTTTAACTGTTACGGATATTCCAGACCCCCACTCTGGGCAAATAACTGCTTTGAACTTTTTGGGGGAAAAATTAAGGCCTATAGGATTGGTCTCCATTCTTATTGTTAAATGTTGATTTCACTAACTGGTGAAATAGTAGCCTCTGATAGTAAAAGATGTTCTCTTTTTCTATGCCAAAGTAACCTACCAATTTTTGCTTTTGGTCCTGGGTCTCCCCTTAATTGCTGTCTCTTCTTGCTCTACCACTGTCTCTGCACTTCAATACAACTCAAAAACTGCATTCCTAAATGGCAGTTACAAAAATGAGGGGCTTCTTGGTGAAGTAGAACATTTCATTTTTAAGACCACTCTTACGGAACAGTCTCAACATCTCAGTTGATGTTTATATAGGAGAAATTTCTATTTACAATACAGAACTCAGTTTAACATTTTAAACAAAATGATATGAGGAAAAAGGTTTATAACTCAATACAATTAGGACCAAATCAAGTTTGAAAAGCTTCACAGCATTAAAAGGGGATATGCTGCTTTAATGATGCCAGAGCTGAGAGGCATCAGCATTAATCGTATATAAAGCAACTATGTTAAAATAAAAATCTGAAAACAGCCTTTTGGAAATTGGGAACTGAGGGTAGTGAAACTACCTGTGAGTAGCTTATATAGAAAAGGAAAAGAAGAAACCAAACAGAAGAGCAAATGGGAGTCAGGACTCACGGAATGGGAACGGTAAAGGGAGGTGTCTTAATGTATGTGGGATGAACTTGAGTGTTGTCTCAGTTAGATTACCGATGTGTGGAAATTGGAAACTAGCAGATTTTGGTTCAACAGGATGTATGAGGACTCTAGCAATAAAAGGACTGTCTTATATCTGTCAGTCTGCAGGGTCTGAAATCAGTTTTTGTGGGTGATGAATATTTTAATGAAATGGATTAGAAAATTTAAGTACGTCGCATGCAGTAAAGTTTTGTGGTGCGTTTTTTACAGTGCCATAAATAAAGATATACATGCATATATGTACCAGATCATGATATAAATTATTTTACTGCTCGTCATGGTCAAAAAAGTTTGAGAGACACTGAAATAGGATATGCTCCGAGACAGCAGTCACTAGGAGTATGGATGGGCAGGGCACGTTTTAGAGTCAGAGACAGTGGCATTTAGCAGAGAAAAGAGTCTCTGGGTTGGTTGCTAGAAGGCAGTGTGCTGGGATATGATCAGATGTAAGTACACAACGCCTGGGCAGTGAAGGAACCTCTAGCCTGGCCCCGAAAGGAGCCTGTCCTGTAAAAGAATGTTGTCCAGCCAACCTGCACAGCCGTGGACTTTGTAGAAGATTCAGAAGGACCACTGGAGATCAAGCCCAGAAGTTTCCAGAGCTAAGCAAGAGTTTAGACTTGAAAACTAAGAATGTCCAAGAGGAGTAAAGGTCATGATAAAATTTATTCCCAGGGAAATCTAAGCTTTGCCACCAATACCAGAGCACTCTGTCCCCACAATAATGCACTGGCCCTTGCCTCCATCGCTCCAGAGCCCCTTCCTCTTCCTGAAAACCCCAGGGCATTGTCCACACAGCTAGATCAGACTAACAAGCCAGTGGGACCACGTCACCTCCTCACATGGGCAGAGTGGCCAGGTACTGCTCCTCCCCACTCCCGACCCTTTGGTTTCTCATGCTCCCCTGCCAACCTCAGGGTCCCCAAGGCCCCTAACGGCAGCAACGGAAAGGAAACCAGGGAAGCTTAGCCTTGTTTCGGGAAAACGGTGACCAGTGGAGCTGATGAAGAGTGATTTGTCTGATATTTAATCCTTTTTATTTCCCTTTTAACTCAAATTATCTGTCCTGCACTCAGTACAAGCAAGTTACTTTAGAACTGGTGGGACAACTCCTTTGGGACTTGGAGACTGCTTTTATCCAGAACCTGCTAAGAGCAGAGGACTTAATACTAAGGACTACAGAAGGAGTATGCCTTAAAAAAAAGACTAAAGTTACATTTTAGTTTGTTACATTACTGATTTTGAAACTTCAGACATTTTGCAAAGATCAGAATTTTAATAAATCTGGAGTTTAAAACGTTGAGGCATACTGTCTACAGCACTCAGGAGGCAAGAAGGTAACCCAATTAAAGGCTAAAACAGATTGAGACAACGAAAGGAAAGGAAGTGGCAGAGGTGTAACATGACTTGCAGGTTAAATGCAGACGTGCTGTGAAGCTGCCCCGCCCTAAGTGCCCGGGGCTGTGTCCACTGTCCCCCAACCTTGCTCCTTTGGACTCCACCTCCTGGAAGTAGAACTGAGAAGTGATGAAAAGGCTCTTTAGGCCCAAATAAAGGCCGTTTTCACTTGAAGGGTTGTTGAGTGACATCTCAGGAAGATGGATTTTACTAGGCATGAGGAAGGAAGATCAAGGCCGGGCCAAGCAGAGACCCCTTTTCAACATCAGCCTGTTTCCACTATGTAGTGGGGGTGGGGAGGTTTGCTAAAGCATCTACTACAGTTTGAAAGCCAGTGGTCTTCGTGATTTTGACTTACAGAGCTAAACTAAACCACTCAGGATTGCTTGCTGCTTGTGAGCTCAGATAATCATACCTGAAGGAAGTTACTCCTAGACTCCTAGAGAAATTTAGATTTCCTTATAAACTGTAATACTTTACGTATTTCATGAGTAAAATAAAACTTACAAGCAATTCTCATTTGACAAATAGGTAAGTAGTCAGCTTTGCAAGTTAATGCATTTTGCAACTTCATGGCCATTGCAAAGGGGAAGAACGGATGAACTTAGGGCAGCCCCATTATCTTCCAGAAAAAACTTAATAGCCCACAGTTGTTGAGTGACTCTACCTGCAGAAGTTAAGGACATTACACAAAGCATGTGTTCTAGTCAGAGAAACTAGATGTATCTTACTGAATTAAAAATCCCCCAGCCCAAAGGCCAAGCAGTTAAGCTCACCTGCTCCGCTTCAGCAGCCTGGGGCTCACCAGTTCATATCCTGGGCACAGCCTGCACACCGTTCATCAAGCCATGGTGTGGCAGCATCCCACACAGAAGAACTCGAATGACTTACAACTACGTCCTGGGGGCTTTGGGGAGAGGAAAAAGATAGGACTGGCAACAGATATTAGCTCAGGTCCAATCTTCCTCACCCCAAAAAAAGCATTAAAAAAATCCCTTTAGGGGATTCCTTTAGGAGGAACATAAGGAATATTAACAACAACAACTCAGGCCAAGATGGATCAATGGATGCCCAAATCAAAGAACAAGGTCAAGTGCCATGCAGGCTTGAATGTGACAGTCCAAATTCAGGGGCTAGCATACCGCTGCAGAAAAATAAAACAGAGCTCCCTCCACTTTTTTCACGATTTGCAGATACATTGCTCAGATAAAAGTGCCTTCTCAATAATCTCTGTGAATACATAAACCCCAACAAAAAATAATTTTGAAGAAAAAGTATTTTCATGGAGTAAAAAATGAATTTGCTAATGTTTACCCAATATGACAATTGTCCTAATCTTCAGATAAGTGAACCAAGAAAGTAAATTCTCTGGGTTTTATGGGAGTCCAGTTCAAATATACCACAAAATTATTGAACCTTTTTAAGATTCCAGGTTCACCACCCCAACTTCAATAAAGAAATTCACAGAGAAGGTACCAGAAAGGAGTAAGGTCAATACCAGTGTCTCAGAACTGTGAGCTGTGACCCGTTTTGAAGACTGTTTAGTTAATTTGTGGGTAGAGACCAACATTTTTTTTTAATCCCGCAGACAAGCAAACAGTGCATCACAAGTAGAAAGGGGGAAGCAGTGTTTCAAGAAGCTCAAAGAAAAAAAAAAAAATACATATATATATATATATATATATATATATATATATATATGCACACGCGGTGGGGGGGGGGCAAGGTGTCTTGTGGTAGCAATCAAAAAAGTTTGGGATACGGACTATTTCTAGTGCCTTTCAATCAGTAGGCTGATACATCTACAATTATACTGGCATTTGGGCTTGTACATCACTTTTGAGTTTGACCAGTAGGAATCAGTTCACCAGAACCTTAAAAGCCAAGAACAGGCCTTGGATTTCTGGGACCCGGTTCATACACACAACGAATCAGAAATGGTACTTTTTGAAAAGGGATAAGCTACTCGGTTTTCATTTTTTTGTTTTATTCAGTTTGCTCCAAGGGCAAAATCAATAATAACAGGGATCACAAACATTATTTTGATTGGCTCACAAGCCTGATCAGTAAAACCTGAAAAACGGAAAATGTTACACAAGTTGCAAAGAAAGTATTCCTGGAGTTCACTGACATGATAGCAAGTGGAAATAATATAAATGCAACAGGTGTTAACATTTAGAACAGTACTTGTAACCTGCTCGTTTCTAGACAATTCTGGGACCCTGCTGCAAACCCTCCATGTATTACTGATTTCCTTGACATGAAATACGACTTTACAAAACTCTTCCTAGACCTTACTCTTGCTGCACTTGAGTGGTTCCTATTCCTACGGCGCTGGCGTATGCTGTCAGGATGTCCACTATCTGTTTAGTTTCTAGGGTCATCCGGGCTTCCTTCAGCCAGTCCTGTGCCACTCGTCTGGACTCTCCTTTCAGCTGATTGACAAACTTTGCTGCCAGCTCCAAATCACCATGCTCAATGCAGTAAGAGGCATATGACAGTAATTTAAATGTGTTTATATCCTCAGGGCAGAGCTCGGCCGGTGGCTTCAGTTGCTGAGGTGGGAATAGGAGCAGGGACTGCAAGTAGGAGAGGAAGTATTGGTACAAGCTATTTCTGGTTTCATCAATCATTGCTACCCTTCGGGCCAGTTTCTGGACAGCATAGAAACGGACTCTAAGGGTCTCTTCACTGTACACCCCACGGGTCAGGGACTCTGGAGGAATGGCTGCAGTTAAAGCCTGGGCGAATTCACTATCAGAACAGCTGGCTTTGATGGCCTCAACTGCGCTACCCAGCGGAACAGTGGGCAGGTCCGCAGACGCCGTCTTCATGCTGTACTTCAATGCCTCCACCGAAAGCCAGAGTTGGTGGGCTTTTCTAGCCTCCTCTTCAGCAACTGCATGACCTATTAAAAAAAAAGGCAAAGAAAAACATTTATCTCTCTACCTGACCACATGTCCTTCTCATACATCCA